CTGCTGAGAGTTCACCTGAATTCTGCTTGGACAGAAGCTAGATCCATGAACTCTAGTCTGTTCCACCAAACAGCTGCAAGAAGGAGATGTCCATGTTATGCTCTGTAAGGAAAGGAAGAGAAGGGACAATGTCACTTGCTACAACTTCAGTCTTCCTTCAGCCAGTATTTGTGTCTTTTTCACTCCTCTTCAACTCTAATTCAGCTGGCTGTACCTACAGCATCACATGCACTGGTGCCCCTCCCTGCTATGGGACTAGTGCCCTTCAGCATACCAAAGGATGTGGTTATTCTCTTGGGTCCCAATCAGCCTCTTTGGTATTCACATTTGCACTGTCTAACCTGATGATGTTTATCTGAACTGTTGATCAGCCGTAGGAGCTTGTCCTACTTATGCTGTAACATCTTGTGGGTGTTGTATCCACTCCTGCTACCTCTTCCCCCCTCGCCAGCTTGTTTAGTAGTTTCCCACAATGTTTTTGAATGCTCAGACAATCAATCTGTGTCAGAAATCCTTTTCCAGAGCTAAGACTTAGAACACATAAGTGGAGAAGAGAGCCCTGGCATGGTCTATGTGTTGAAATATTAGAGATCATTAGAGACCATTCAGATGGTCAGATTATTCCTTATACTGTGTTGCAGAGGTCGAAGCTTTATTCCATCATACAAGTTGTATCTGATGTGGCATTTAGTAGCAAGATTCAGCTGTTGCTGTTCACATAAACGCCAAGCTCCATCCATAGGTAAACTGGAGACACTGTGTGGACAAAAACATTCAATAAGAAATTAAATTCAGACTGGACTTCTGAGAGACATATACACCCAACTATCTTCTTGCTTTTCTCCTCTAGAATCCTTTGTAACAACATGCATGTAAGCATTTTGAAAGTACCCGAGATTTTTTCAGTCACTTTGCAAATTCTCAGCTGAAACAATCACTTTTTAAAAAATGCTGTACTGCTGTAAGACTTTAAAACTGATAATAAAGTGTTAAAAGGAAAAATTCTCTACTAGTTACTTCCCTGGGTGAGGCACACCATTCCCACCTGGCAAAGCTACTGGTGTTACTGTGTGGCACATACTGAAGCTTGTGAGAGCATGAATGGGTGACAGAATCTGAGAATGTGGAGGCTGGGAAGGATTTAGGTTCATAACCTAGAGGGGGAAGGGTCACTGTGTGGTGTATCAGCTTACAAGGATGCTACTTTATTGCAGAGTGTAGCCAGAATTCACAGCACCAGAAGTGCTCGGTCCTCAGAGTGCAAGTATCTGCACAGTTGCTCAGCTCCAGCTCCATGGGAGCTGAGTGCAGGCATGCTGCTTCCTTGCTAGTGAGAGGATACACTGCAGAATTCCCTGCACTCAGGTTTTCTTCTGCTGTCAAACCCCCCTCCTTCACTTCAGTTTTCTGCCTTGTATTATGTCTGACTGGTTGCAGCCAGGGCTGCAGAGGAGTAATGAGGGAAGACCTAATGGACCTGTGTCCTATTAGACATACGAGACAAAAAAAAAAACAACTTTGAAACTGAGCTGTGAAGAAGCTGAATGGAGCATGCTTAACTCTTCTGCATAAAGGACTGGTTCAGTTCCTTGCTGCTCAGTGTCCTGTGATGATTTTAAATTTTTTTATTTTGTGGTAAAGTTTACTCAAGAAGTTTTCTAATTCTTCAATTATTAATGCTGCAGTGCAGTGGTTCCCTGCCTTCGGTTTTGCTGATGCAGCTGGTTGTGGGATTGTGCTTAAATTGCATCAGTGAGTGATATGACCTAAATTAAAAATGTTAAAAAGAAAGTTAATTTCACTCCATTTTACTGATCTGGTTTAAGGTGCAGCCCTACAGGTAGTTGGGTCAGCAGCTGAGGGAGTGGTGAAGGGACAGGTTAATAAGGGAGAGGTGGAGGGAAGAAGAGAACCTCCAAAACTGGTTTTGCCACTAGTGAAAATGTATGTCAAACTTCCACAGACTTGCAGAGGTGGGGCAAGGTAGACTAACAGCTTCCCTTGTCTCAGTGGTAGATATATCATCTCCACTCACTGGCCTGAGATGCCAGCTCACAGCTTTGGGGTGGGGACAAACTTTATTGCACTGTTGCCATCAATACAAACCAGGCTTCTTGCTTTGAGAATTTGTTTCAGTGTATGGTGAATTCGCTGAAATGAACATACAGCTACTGAATGACTCTCAGCATATTGTATTTAATGCTTGGAAAACTGGAGTGTTAAGATACAGCTCATAAGCATACTGCATATGTAGGATTTTGTTTAAAATTAACTGATCAGTTCATTTCAATTGCAAGGAAACCCTTATAATCTTGACTTAAAAGAAATGGTGTAATGCTCCCAGTCTGCAGACAGCTTACAGAAGTCGTCAACCACTTTTATCTCTAAGTTTCACCATAGGCTTAATACTGCGTTTCAATAAATTGCTGATCATTTTAGTGGGTGAATGTGAGGGAGGGATGAGTGAAGCAAAAGACAAAAAGCAGCAATCCTAAAGAGTCTTCTTCCTGTGTGCAGCTGTCTATAGCAATGTACTAAGCAAAAAAAAATTAAGAACTTTTTTATTCTACCCTTTGTGAAAGCCTCTTTGCTGTTAATATCTATTTTCTTACAGGTTAAGACGAACAGATAGTCCTCAAGATATACTTCAGCCATATGAATTTCAGGAATGGAATTTCTCATTCCTTAAATAAGTTTGGACAGTCTGTTTCTGAGGCACGTGTAGCATCATAGGCTCTTTTATCTGCTGACTTGCCAGTTAGCTGGTAACGGAAAACAGTACTGTTCAGGGAGCACAGAGAAGATCTGTACTGATGCCAGATGTCCCTCTCCATTTGAAGGATGTGGTGTTAGGTTTGCATCTGATGATCAGACTGTGTTTCAGTTTCTTAAAAAGCTTGCTAGATTGGTATGCTTTGAGTTGACTCTAATGTGGGTATTAATAAAATTTTAGTAAGGTGAGTCCTATGTATAGGATCTCCTATAGTGATCCTTTGCATGTCGTTTGGAGCAATTTAAGTGGAATGTGTATCAAACCTGTTCCATTGAAAGATGAGGACAGACAGACTTTTTATCAGGGCCTGTTGCAATAGGACAAGGGGTAACAGGTTTAAACTAAAAGACGGTAGATTTAGACCAGATCTAAGGAAGAAATTTTTGACAATGGGGTGGTGAAACACTGGCACAGGTTGCCCAGAGAGGTGGTAGGTGCTGCATCCCTGGAAACATTCCAGGTCAGGTTGGACGGGGCTCTAAGCAACCTGATCTAGTTGAAGATGTCCCTGCTCATTGCAGAGGGACTAGATGACCTTTAAAGGTCCCTTCCAACTCAAATTATTCTATGATTTCTGTCATCTCTGAACTGATGTGGAATTGGTTCACATTGCTCTAGGACACTGAGAGATAAACAATATTGGGAACTTGATAGAGGCAGCGATAACAGAAAGATTGTACTGTTGTGATCCTGGTGTATGTCAGAAGAATATGATGTCAAACTGCATGTTTCCAGACATGCAGTCTTGGAGAATTTCAAGGATGAGTCAACTTCTGACCTCCTTTTTCTGAAACAGAAAGCAAGATTGTTTTTAGTCTCTCAGGGTAAGTGAGAGTTAGCAGAGACTGTGAAGTCAGCTATAGTATGTGCACCTCTGATAATTATACCCATGGCACAACTTTGTGATTGACTACCTTGGTGAATACAGAGATCCTAGGAGAACGAAATATGGTGAGGAGTCTTGGGACTGTGCCCAAGTTTCTTATCAAGCGAGTCTACCCCATGCTATATTTTTTTGGGGGCTTGTCTCCAGAATTACAGGTGTGGAATTCATGAATAAAAACTTGGAGGTAGAACTATGAGTAGCTTTAATATATATTATAGTTTCAAGATCTGGAGGAGAAAGCCTCGTGTGTGACAAACTAACATTAATATTCAAGTAAAGGTTAAGGGAAAACACACCCATTCACTTTTAAAGAATGGTTGCTTCCTTAATGTCAGCTAACGGTTTTGATGTGTGTGGTTTCTTTTTCAATGCTCCTATGATTGTTCCATTTTTTTATTTTATTTTTGCTTTTTTTTTCCTAGAGATGTGAATTATGCCCTCATAAGGATGGTGCTTTAAAGAGAACAGATAATGGGGGTAAGTTTCATTCTTATTTTTTGTCAACTCTCTTATTTTGTATGAGGGAAATAAGTCTGTGGGGAAAAAAAAGGCGGGGGGGGGAATCCTAAGCATAAATGAAAACAGGCTGGTTTGGAAAGAGAGAACTATTTTACAGTAATCATTATTTGTCCAATTTAGGTTGAATTTAGTTTGAGAACATCAATCATTATTTTTAGTCTAATTTTTAGGAAAAAAGTTACAATGAAGGAGCAACTGCATTTTAACATAATCTTATAATGGGTAAAAAGGATAAATCTTATTTGTGTTTAGTTGGAGTCTGAACGCTTATAGAAAGCTGTTGAAAGTGCACCATACATGGAGGAAAGTGGAATTTTTATGTCTGTAGCCCAGACTGAACGCACCAGTGCATTTTCAAAGGATAGCTCTTTCATGCCTGACTTACTAATAGGTTCTGTAACAAAGAAGTTGGAACTGAAAAGTTGCAGTAGTGATTACCTGTCCCTTGCATCTTTCTAATTTCATTGATCAGGTTGTCATCAGTTCTGCTTCTGCTGAGTAGAATCGCTAGAGAAAGTCTCTACTGAACATCCTGTCTTGATTATGCTTATACTAATAGCTGGGTGATATGATTGAAAAATTTCAATTAACTTTTCAATCACTTCTGGAATTCCTTCTTCTCCCTTTACTTGATACTTCTAAATTCCTGTCCATCATCTATCTGTAAATAGCCTGGTCATTTTGAAACTGAGCCCTTTCTGTTGTGAGAGGAGAAAGTATGGTCAGGGTTCTGGATTTCATTTAGTTTGTGTAAATCGTATTCTGAAGATATGATGCTGCATATGTAATAATCCGACTGATTTATATCTTAGCTTAGTGTTGATGCAGTTTTGCTATTTCTGTTACAGTTGAATTGTAGGAACACAGAGCCTGCTTGGCTTGGGGCTGATACACCCTTTTCCTTCTCTATACTTTTTGACACGTACAGTACTACTGCAGTGTACAGTATATGCTCTAGCATTTACCATTCAAGTGTGCTTATCTCAAACATGTTGGTGAACTTAGTGTCATTTGTGAGTGTTGGGAGAGTGTACTGAGACTGTCTTGTCTGTGTGTCAGCGAAACTACCATCTTAAGCGCCAGCCCAGTACTTTAGCCTTAAAACTTCTTTCTCTCAGACAGGTTGATACATGGCAGTGTTGAATTCATTTCTTCAGAAATGACAGCTGGACACTTGCTTTTTTAGGAAATAAGTAATAAGAAAGCCTCAAACCTTTTGAAATATACAGTAAAATTTGTGAAGTATGAAGTAGCTGAAATGTTTTCTGTTTTTGTACTTGAAGTAGTGTTTGGGAATTGCTTGCTAATAGTAAGCTACCCTTGCTATTCTCTATGGTAGTTTTGAAACTTTGTATAAAGTCTTGAAAACATATTTTGACAGGGAGCATCAAAGATCTGAGCATTCTACTAGTTACTTCTCTTACAGCTGTATTAATTGTAATTACGAATTCTTTTCTGAAAGTGAGTTACTGTATAAGACTAATATTATTTAAATTTAAATAGCAAAGATGTTACACTGTATGAACAGTATTGTCCCTACTATAATTTTCATGACCAACTATTTTCATCAGTGAAAGCTTCATAGTGATAGTGAGAATTTCATAGCAGAGAAGTTAAGATTTTGTACTTCACCTTCTGAAAACATCCCTGCCTTAGTAATAAATCTTGTCCATGGTGTTGAATACAGCAAGTTCTACCTTATGGACCAAATGTTCTTTAAGTAACAGCTTTACAGAAGGATGTGAACCTTGGAAAAAATTAACTCTGCCTGGTGTTGCATTTCAGAAATCTGCATTCTTAACCTGAAGCTTTTCTTTCAAATAGTTGCCTAACAGGGGATTGTGCCAGAAGAGTTTCAGACTTAAGGAAATACTGTTGAAGGTCATGTAATGGGCTTGCCAGTTTAAAATTATATTTACAGTAGGTTAATACTTGGAATTTTTTTAATGCTGTTACACCATTTGTTGCCAAGGGAAATGATAAAAAGATGCAGGTATTCCTGAAGAAACTTCAAAACAAACATTTCTGATAAAACCTTGTAAGGATCCAGCTTTAGAAATTTGTAATTACGGAGCCTTTCTGTAAGTATAGAAATAATTAAATGGTTGTAGCTTTTCAGAACAAATGAAGAAATTACTGATTTTATGTCAGTGATATAAAGTTATGCTTCTTTCTGCCTTCTGGCAACAAGTAACTTTATTTTGTAGCCAGAAAACCAATGCAGTTTTTGTTTTCAATATGTAGATAACTTAGCTCATATATAGTCTGCTGCCTTTTTTTTTTTTTTTTTTTTTTTTTTTTGTAACAGTCTTCTGGACATTTGCTTTTTAATAATGTGAGGAAATGTATTTTGTTTGGATGTTGAAGATACTGTATTTTCTTTTATGTCAGGAGTCTTAAAGTTTTTTGGTCTACTGGGTTTTTACTATAAGGTACCATGATTTTCTTAACCTGCAGTAAGATGCTGTTACTGCAGGGAGGGTCCTTGCTATGCATTACTTTCTCCTCCTTTGTGATGGTACCAGGATTTAGAACTCTTCCCGCCCCCCCCCCATGTGTTCCTTTTCAGCTAAATTAAATTAATTCTCTGACCCAGCTGATCATGCTAATGCTGATACAGAAGAAGGGCCAGGACTATTCTTTTAGCAGCAGCCTGTATGTTAGCTGTCTCAAGTCAGCTGTACAACTATAACTGAAAACAGCCTAATCTAATAGCTCTTATATAATGGTGTTGTCTGTCCTCTAGGAGCTCTGGGGCACTCTAAGATATTGTCCTGGTTTTGGCTGGGATAGAGTTAATTTTCTTCCTGGTATAGTGCTGTGTTTTGGATTTAGCATGAGAATAATGTTTTAGTTGTTGCTAAGTAGTGCTTATACTAAGTCAAGGACTTTTCAGTTTAGAATCATAGAATCATTAAGGTTAGAAAAGACCACTAAGATCATCAAGTCCAACTGCCAGCAGGGAGGTGCACAAGAAGCTGGGAGTGGGCACAGCCAGGACTGCTGACCCAGACTGGCCGGAGGGATATTCCATATCATGTAACATTATGCTCAGTATATAAACTGAGGGGAGTTGGCCAAGGATTGGCGACTGCAGCTCAGGAACTGGCTGGGCATCAGTCAGTGGGTGGTGAGCAATTGCATGGTGCATCACTTATTTTGTATATTATTATTATTTATTTAATCAGTTAATTTTCTCTTCCCTTGCTGTCCTATTAAACTGTCTTTATCTCACCCCCGATTCTTCTACCCTCCTAAGCGGGGGGATGGGAGAAAGGTGAGCAAGCAGCCGTGTGGTGCTTAGTTGCCTGCTGGGGTTAAACCATGACAGATATATATGACACAGTAGTCTGGGAATCAAACTTGTGTTGTTTTTAAGTATGACTGACTGACTAGAAAATAGTAATGGTGGTGTATAGTGTGGTCGTGTTGGGGTGTTGTGGGGTTTTTTTGGTGTCCCATCCCCATTCCTGTCCCCCTCCTGCCCTCCCCGTGGCGTGAGTTTCCTTCACGTGCATTCTTCCTCCTTATGTCTCTCCTTTTACTGGCCTGTTACTGCTTTATCTGACTTTCTGGAGATCAGCACTTCTTTAGATTTGCTTTTTAGGTTTTTTATTTCTGGCCGGAGACATCTACTGTACTGTAGTCGTGCTTATCAGTCGTGCTTATCATTACCCCTCACATTTATGAGGGGTAATGTTGGGTTCTCCAGTATCATCTATGGCAAATACGGAGTTACAGTTTTCAGTGATACCATAAATACAGCCTTCTCGGAGCAGTACTGTCATGGATCTTATATAGAACTTGAAAGTGCCAGCTTGAAATAGTAAGAGGAGAGGAGCATATCGTGGAGGTCAGACAACATTTGGCCTGCTGTCTTTGTCAGTATGAACTGGATTCTTGAGAATGTTCTTGTATGCTTGCTCAGAATACTTTCCCAGCCTATACAAGTATTTATGCTTTGGGACTTTTTGAACCAAGGATGGTATTTTTGTGTTTAATGGAACAAGAGTCCATCACAGTATTGATGTGTCCACTTCTGTATAAAGGCTTAGTGTCCATAATCTTGTGTGGCAAGGCATTTTGCAGTTGATCTGTACAACGTGTCAAGATGCATGCTGTTTCTTTTGTACTTGTTACCTCATGGTTTTATTTGATGCCACTGGGCACTTGCTAAGTGATAGGAAGTGACAAAGAGCAGTTTTTCTATGTTCACCTTTTCAGTACCTCTTCTGGCTTTATAGACCTCTGTCATATTCTTCTTTTGTCTCCTTTTCAGGATGAAGGATCCCAGACTGATTGGGCATTCCTTGTACAGAAAACTGACCACGCCCTTCTTTTCCCTTCTCTACATGTCTGCCAAATGATACATAATCCTTACCAGAGCTGAATGTGAAATTTTAGGGAAGGAAATCTATTGTACATGATGCCATGGAATCTCTAGATTGCAAAATGATTACAGTGTGGTTTAATGTTCCCTAACAGGCTACTCATGTAATTATGGGTCACCATTTTTTGGTACAAATTTTTCTCATTAATTAGAGTGTATTTTCACTAGCCTAAACATTTGTACTACCTCAAAACTAGGACAGATCCTGAAATGGGAACAGAAGTATTGATTTTAACAAGGCTTTTGCTTGCAGGTTGTTCTTAAAATTGAGTGCACTGTTTTCTGCATTTGCTCCGGAAACAGACGACATGAGTATATTTATTGAAATTCTTGAGGCATTAACTGTTTTTACAGCCATAGTTAACTCTTGGCTATTTGGGTTATTGGAGGTGGAGTGGGACAGGGAAAGTTCAGTTGTCCTAGATAATAGTGACTGTACTAGCCAAGTGGTTTCTATATAGTGTTGTGGAAACATTCCACTTAGTGGTGGAAACTAATCCAGATGGTTCTGCACCAAGTTGCTAGTGTGTCTGGGTCTGGAAGGACTAAAGAGTTCATGTGAAGTGCC